CGGCCGCAGCAGCGGCGGCTGGGCGGGCGGCCGCGGCGGCGCCCAGGGCCGCGCCACCGCCAGCGGCGGCGGCGGCGGCGGCCGGGCCGGAGGCGGCCAGCCCGAAGGCGGGCGTCGCGAGCGAGCGCCGGGCAGGCCAGCGCCCAGCGGCCGGATTTTGCAGATGGCATGTAGGACGCAAGCGGCTTGCAGCCCATGTCCCCGGCCGCAGGCTGCAGCATGGCGCGGCCGGGCGGTCGGCCGCGGCGGCCGCCCGAACCGCGCCACCAGCAGGCGCGGCGGCGGCGGCCTCGCGGCCGCCGGGGCGGCCGGAGGCGGCGCGGGCGGCGCGAGCGAGCGCCGGCCAGGCCCGCGCCAGCGGCCGCGGGCCGCGCTGGGGAGCTCGGGGAGGCGGCCACCGGCCGCGGCAGCCGCCAGGCGGCGCTGGGCCGCAACACGCGCAAGCCGGCGTCGCCGCGCCGCCGCAGCCCATCGCCCGGAACCAAGCACCAACCTGACAGGGGCGGGCTCGAGCCGAGACGGCTTGAGCCAAGGCTTGAGCCAAGGCTACGGACTGGCGGGGTTACGCGAAGCGTGAAGAATTCACTGATTTTCTGAATTTGTTCCCAGATTTTGGCGTTCTCGCCTTTTCGGCTTCCCGACGCTCCAATACGGCCGAAGAAATCCCCCAAATCGCCCAAAGACGGCCCAAGTAGCCTAAGAGGGCCCAAAAACAGCCCAAGAGGGCCCCAAGACGGCCTCAGAGGCCTCCAAGACGGCTCCAAGAGGGAGCCCAGACGGAGGACCTGAACGGACCTGTCGAGCCCTCGGCTTCGAGAGGCCAGACGCTTCATGTATCTTGCTTCGGTGGTCTTCTTGACCATCCCAAATGGCTGCACGATAACCCCAAGATGGCCCCGAGATTGCCCCAAGAGACCCAAGCTGGCCCGGGTATGGCCCCAAGTGGCCCCAAGAGAGCGCCAAGATGGGCCAAAGAGAGCCCGACGATGATCCCAAGGAAGTTTCAAGCTGGCCCCAAGACCATGATACACGGGAGGCTTTCGTGCATCTTGCTTCAATCGGCCTCTTGACGTGCCTGGATGGCTCCAAGATAGCCCCAAGATGGCAACAGATGGTCCCGGCATGGCTCCAAGAAAACCCAAGGGAGTCCCAAGACGGCCACAAAAGAGCCACACTATGGTCTTAAGAGAGCCCCAAGTTCACTCCAAAAGCAAGATGCACGAGGGGCCCCCGTGTATCTTACTTCGGCGGCCTTCTGGACGATCCCAGATGGCTTGAGGATGGCCCCAAGATGGCCCCAAGATAGCCCGCGGCGGCGAAGACGGCGGTGACGGCGGTGACGGCGGCGGCGGCGACGGCGGCAGCGGCGGCGACGAGGAGGGCGGCTACGACGACGCCGACGACGTCAACGACGGATCCCAACATCCGCTCAAGACAAGGGGGGTAGCCAGACCACTGCTCCTCCTCCTCCTCCTCCTCCTGCCCCTCCTCCTCCTCCTCCTCCTCCTCCTCCTCTTCCTCCTCCTCCTCCTCCTCCCTCCTGCCCCTCCTCCTCCCCTCCGTGTCCACGTGTTCCTCCTTCTCCTGCTGCTGCTGCTGCTGCTCACGCTCCCCCTCTTCCTCCTCCTCTGCCGCCTTCCCTGACCTCCCTCGAAGAAAGAAACGGAAACGAAGAGGCAGCGGAGGGGAGGGGAGGAGAGGGGATAGGACCCATTGCGCACCCTCCCCACAGCACCCCTCGAGCCGCTGGCACCCGAGCCCACGGCGCCCGACGCCTCTCGCAGAGGGGCCGCGATCGCGACCCTGCCTCGAACCCCCACGCACGCCTCGCCTTCCGTCTCCTCGTCTTTCCCGCTCGGCCGTGCTGGTCGCGGACACAGCCTGCACATGGTCAACTGCCAGGGAAGGCTTTGCACCAGCACATTAAGTTGTTCCGTTTGCCCGCCATCGCCTCCTCCAGCTCCAACCCCTCCGCAACCAAAGTATAAGATGCGATCTTTCTCCCTTTCTCTCCTCCTCCTCCTCCTCCTCCTCCTGCTACTGCTCCTGCTCCTGCTTCCCCCCCTCTCCTCAGGACGCCACAACAGGTTAGTTATTCTCAACTTGCATTCCTCTTCTTCGCTTCCTCCGAATCATCCTCCCCTCGTTCCTCCGCCTCGAAATCCTCCTGATCTGATCCGTCATCCTTCCCATGCTCCTCCTCATCCATCTTCTCCTTCTCCTCCATCTCCCCCACCTCCCCTTGTTTGGCCTGTCCCTCCTCCCCTCCAAATCCGTGCTCTGCCCTCCTCCTCCTCCTCCTCCTCCTCGTCATCGTCCTCCTGCTCCTCATTATCCTCCTCCTCTTCCTCGTCATCGTCCTCCTGCTCCTCCTCCTCCTCCTCCTCCTCCTGCTCCTCTCATCATCATCACCACCACCAGAATCATCATCAGACTCATCATCATCATCATCATCATCATCATCATCATCATCATCATCATCATCATCATCATCATCATCATCATCCATCATCATCATCATCATCAGCAGCAGCATCATCATTACCATCATCGGCATCATCATCAGCCTCACCATCATCATCGCCATCACCATCATCATCACCATCATCGTCGTCACCATCACCCTCGTCATCATCCTCATCATCATCATCAGCATCATCATCAACATCATCATCATCATCATCATCATCATCATCATCATCATCATCATCATCATCATCATCATTATCATCATCATCGTCATCAAAATCAGCATCGCCACCACCATCGTCATCAATAATCATCCCAGTGGGACCCTACCTAGGAGTTGGAGCCCCTAGGAAAGCAGCATAAGCTAAGCTAAGCTAAGCTAAGCTAAGCTAAGATAGCTAAGCTAAGCAAAGCTAAAGTGAGATCAGCTAAGCTAAGCTAGGCTAAGCTAAGCTAAGCTAAGGTGAGACAAGCTAAGCTAAGCTAAGCTAGGCTAGGCTAGGCTAAGCTAATCTAATATGAGCTAAGCCAAGCTAAGCTAAGCTAAGCAGGGGCGCAACTGGGGGAACCGCGGGGCGGATGCTGGGGGAACCGCGGGGCGGATGCCAGGGGAACCGCGGGGCGGATGCTGGGGGAACCGCCCGGGGCGTGCCCCACTGCCCGGCCCTTTAAGCAAACAGAGTAAGAACCCTTCTAGGCAGAGCCTAGGTAGGGAACTGAGGTAAGATGCAGCTAAGCTAAAGTAAGATGAAATAAGCTAAGCTAAGATGAGATAAGCAACGCGAAGCTAAGGGAACGTCACTGGGGGAACCGCGGGGCGGATGCCGGGGAAACCGCCCGGGGCGAGCCCCACTGCCCGGCCCTTTCAGCTTAGCTATGCTATGCTAAACTGCGCTATGCGATGCTATGCTATGCTATGCTATGCTATGCTATGCTATGCTATTATATGCTGCGCGATGCTATGCTATACTTGGCTATATTATGCTATGCTACGTTATGCTAATGCAGCGCTGCGCTATGCTAAGTTCACTTAAGCTAAGCTAAGCTAACCCTCTAAGCAGAGCCTAGGTAGGGAATTACACCCAGGCTATGATATGCGATGCTGCGCTATGCTATGCTACGCTATGCTGTGCTCTGCTATGCTAAAACTCAGCGAAGCTAAGATGGAGGTAAGCTAAGCTAAGATGAAACTGAGGTAAGATGAAGCTAAGCTAAGGTAAGATGAAATAAGCTAAGCTAAGATGAGATAAGCAACGCGAAGCTAAGGGAACGTCACTGGGGGAACCGCGGGGCGGATGCCGGGGGAACCGCCCGGGGCGCGTTCCACTGCCCGGCCCTTTAAGCCTCCGAGTAAGAACCCTTCTAGGCAGAGCCTAGGTAGGGAAAAACATCATCAGCATCATCAACATCATCACTACTACCCTCGTCGTCTGCATCGTCATCGTCAGTATCACCATCATCAGCATCATAAGCATCACCACCATCATCAGCAACACCATCAACCTCATCCTCATCATTATCATCAGCAGCATCATCATCATCGTCATCACCATCATCACCATCGTCACCAGCATCATCGTCACGATCATCATCAGAATCATCATCATCAGCACCAGCATCATCATCACCATCAACATCATCAGCATCATCCTCATCGTCACCACCAACACCATCATCATCAGCATCATCATCAGCGTCGTCGTCATTATCAGCATCACCAGCAGCATCATCAGCATCATCAGCCTGATCAACATCAGCATCATAATCATAATCAGTATCAGCAACAGCATCATCATCATCATCATCACCATCATCATCATCATCAACATCATCATCAGCATCAGCATCAGCATCATAATCAGCATCAGCATCAGCATCATCATCATCATCATCATCACCATCATCATCATCATCATCATCATCAGCATCATCATCATCATCATCATCGGCCTCACCCTCCTTGTCATCCTCATTATCCTGCTGCACCTCCTTATCTGCCCGTTCATCCTTCTCATCCTGCTCCCGCTGAAGCACATGGGTTGCAGAAAGGTGGGAGCTCGGCGCGCGTGCGTGAAAGACACGAATGCTTTCCAACCGATGGGAACGGTACTCCTCTCTACTGCAGCTGGCCATGGAGAAGGAGGAGGATTTATTTGGACGTGGGCTAAGGGAAGGAGGAGGAGGAGGAGGAGGAGGAGGAGGAGGAGGAGGAGGAGGAGATGGAGGAGAAGGAGGGGGAGGAGGGGGTGGAGAAGGAGGCTAGAGGAACACGCGGATGACGACGACGAGGACGGCTCCTCCTCCTCCTGCTCCTCCTCCTCCTCCTCCTCCTGCTGCTGCTGCTACTGCTCCTCCTCCTCCTCCTGCCCCTCCCCTGACGGGGCCTGCAGCAGCCTCACCCATGGCCGAGAACGCGTGGCCTCGGGCGAGGGGGGGGAGAGAGAGAGAGAGAGAGAGAGAGAGAGAGAGAGAAGAGAGAGAGGGAGAGGGAGAGGGATAGAGAGAGAGGAGGGAGAGAAAGGGAGAACGAGAGAGAGGGAAAGAGAGGGAGAGCAAGAGGAGGGTAGAGAGAGAGAGAGAAGAGAGAGAGAGAGAGAGAAAGAGGGATATAGAGAGAGAGGAGAGCGAGAGGAAATGATAATGGTAATAACAAAACATCTGCGGAGAGAGACAGAGAGAGGAAGAGAGACAGAGAGAGATAGAGAGGGGGATGGAGACACATCGATGCGGACACGCGCGTCCAAGCTGGCAGGGAGGCGCCTCCAGAAGGTTCCTAAGAGGCCCCCCCCCAGAGGCCTCCAAGAGGCCACCAAGAAGCCCCGCCACAGACTTGGCTGCAGGATGCTCGAGACGCGAGCGAGCCACATAAGCGACGAAAAGAAACGGATCTTGCGCGAAATGGCCAAACGATCTTATGCCGCGGCTTACGGGGGCCGATAGCGCGGTACGCCGCATTGAAGACGAGTGCGCCTACGCGCGACCTTACGTGGGCAGTTTACGCTCCAACGTCGGCGCAATCGACCTCGTTGTGTTGCGTCGCCCACATGTTGCCAGCTTGTGTCTGGACGGTCCCACTTGACGGCTCTCCAAAAGCCCAGGGATGAAAGGTATCACACTCTACCGCCTGCAGCGCCATACCCATTCCTTTCGCACGCAGTCTGTCGAATGCCTCGTTGAGGGTCGGCGGATTGGCGGGGCGTGAATGGTTTTGAGCGTTTCCTTTTCCACCCCGCCTTCTTCCCTTCCGGGGAGGGGTTTACCCCTCCCTTTCCGAAGGTGAGCGCAGCACGGTCCCAGTAGAGAGGCATACGCCCGCCACAGACACACCGCCCGCCGAAGATCATGCCGACCGTCGGGAAAGGTGCACTGGCTCTTCCACTGGAGAGACAAAGAGCAACAGTGAAAACACGGGGAGGGCTGGTGCAGGCAACGACAGCTCTCCCCCAGTCCCGATCCGCTCGCGAATCGGGGCCCAATTCCCTCCTGGGGTCCATCCTGACCCGTGCTTGGACCCAGGAATCCGGCCGCTCCGATTTTTTCGATGCGTGGGCCCTGGAGGTCTGGACCTCTCCCCTGGGGCCAGCTTTTCGCCACGAGCCGTTCCTTGACGGCCCCGAGGCCCCGCGAGGGCCCATGGAGAGGCAGACGGCGGCGAAAGGCCCGCCGCTCCGACTTTTCGGGGGCGTCGGAGCTCCGGGGCCTGGAGGCGGATCCGGCCGTGGCGACGAGACGCCTCCGGGAGGCCCAGAGGAGAACGAAGACGGCGGGGAGGGCCGCCGATCACCCCACTGGCCCACGTTGGCCCGCGTCTGCCGCCTCCCGCCTCCTCCAGCCTCCTCCCGCCTCCTCCTCCTCCTCCTCCTCCTCCTCCTCCTCCTCCTCCTCAATCTCCTCCATCTCCTCCATCTCCATCATCTCCCCTCCTTCCTCCTCCCCTCCCCTCCCTCCTCCTCCTCCTCCTCCTCCTCCTCCTCCTCCTCTCCTCATCTCCTCCCTCCTCCTCCTCCTCTCTCCTCCCCTGCTCCTCCCCCCTCCTCCTCCTCCCTCCTCCTCTCCTCCTCCCTCCTCCTCCTCCTCCCCTCCTCTCCTCCTTCCTCCATCTCCTTCATCTCCTCCTCCTCCTCCTCCTCCTCCTCCTCCTCCTCCTGCTCCTCCTCCTCCCTCCTCCTCCTCATCCTCCTCCTCCTCCTCCCCTCCTCCTCCTCTCCTCCTCCTCCCCCTCCTCCCTCCTCCCCTCCTCCTCCTCCTCCTCCTCCTCCTCTCCTCTCCTCCCCTCCTCCTCCTCCTCCTCCTCCTCCTCCTCCTCCTCCTCCTCCTCCCTTTGTGCGTTGCTCGGACACTGGGCGCTAGCCTGTTGCGTGCGGAACTGATGCGCAAATCGCTGACATAGGCGTGGTAGTTAACGAGCAAATGAGGCCGCGAACGGGTGCAGAAAAAGAAAGGCAAAGAGACAAGCAAATCCGCCGACCCTGTCGGCGTGTGTGAGGGGCTTGTCCGTTCGAGTCGTCATCTTCGTCGTTCGTTGGTCGTCGTCTCTGTCGTCCCCTTTCCCTGCCTCCCCCCTTTCCCTGGGCTCGTCGAAGCTCCCCCTTCCCCAAGGACCTCCTCAGCGCGCCAGCCAAAGCGAAAATAAGCAACGTCGAAATTGAGTCGAAGGGAAGCCCCTTCACTTCGATCCCTCCCCCGCAGGGGAGGGGGGGTCCCGGGAGGGGGGGGGCCAGAAGCCCCAGGGGGGGGGTCAGATACGACGCCCCCCCTGGGAGTCCTGGAGCCCCAAAAAGCCCCAAGACGGGCCAGGAGTGCCCTAAGAGGCCCCAAAGACAGTCCAAGAGAACCCCGAATCGCCGAACGAGCTGTCCAAGACGCCTTGACGGCCTCCAGACGGCCCAAGAGGCCTGCAAAGCGCCCCGAAGAGGCCTCCAGGAGCTTTCCCACGAGAGCCTCAAGAGGCAAAATTCATGAATTTCCAATACGTTTTTGACAGATTTTGGCGGTCTTGCCTCTTCCACTTCCCGACGCGCCAAGACGGCCCATGAGGCCCCCAAGATCGCCCCGAGACGGCCCAAGAGGCCCCCAAGAGGGTCCCCTAACGGTCGAAGAAGGGCCCAAGACGGCCCAAGACGCCTCCAAGACGGCCCAAGAGGTCCCCAAAGCGGCTCCACGAGAGTGCCTAGACGGGGGAACTGAACGGACACTTCGAGCTCTCAACCACAAGAGGCCCCCAAGAGGCCCCGAAGAAGCCCCAAGAGGCCCCAAGAGGCTCCCAAGGGCCCCCCAAACTGCCCCAAGACAGCCCAGGAGGGCCCCAAATTGCCCAGGAGGCATCCAAGAGTGCCTCAAGACGGCGCAAGGGGAGCCCTGGGCGGCCCAAGACGGCCCGAGCCCGGGGCCCCCCCCCGAGGACCCGCCGAGGACGCCCGAGCACTGCCAGATGCCTCCGTCGCTGAGACCCGGCGCCACGAGCCCAGGGCAGCGTCGTGGGACCATTTCGACCCGAGCCCCGTGCCGCGCCTCCCTGCTGCGTTGTACGAGCCGGATCGATCAGTGAGGGGCTCGGGGCCCGAGGCGGGGCAACATCGCCCGCTGCGGGACAACAGGGCGGCGCCATGATCTCGGGACGCCTGGCGCTGGCTTTTCAAGACGTTGGCCCCAAAGACCATCCGGGCGGTGATCCTGTGCTACGTGCCGGGGGGCGGCCAGCAGCCCCTCGGGCCACCCGCCCGTCTCCAGGAGGCCGCAAAGTGGCACGAGCACTGGAGCCCTTCAAGCCGAGTCCTGCCTCCTGCCTCCTCCCTCCTTCCTCCTCCTCCCTCCTGCCCCCTCCCCCCTCCTCCCTCCCCCTCCTCCTCCTCCTCCTCCTCCCCTCCTCCTCCTCCTCCTCCTCCTCCTCCTCCTCCTCCGCCCTCCTCCTCCTCCTCCTGCTGCTTCTCCTCCTGCTTCTCCTCCTGCTTCTCCTCCTCCTCCTCCTCCTCCTCCTCCTCTCCTCCTCCTCCTCCTCCTTCTCCTCCTGCTCCTCCTCCTCCTGCTTCTCCTCCTGCTTCTCCTCCGCCTTCTCCTCCTCCTCTCCTCCTCCTCATCCTCCTCCTCCTCCTGCTCCTCCTCCTCTCCTCCTCCTCCTCCTCCTCCTCCTCCTCCTCCTCCTCCTCCTCCTCCTCCTCCTCCTCCTCCCCATCCCCCTCCCCTCCCCTCTCCTCCTCCTCCTCCTCCTCCTCTCCTCCTCCTCCTCCTCCTCCTCCTCCTCCTCCTCTCCTCTCTCTCCTCCTCCTCCTCCTCCTCCTCTCCCTCCTCTCCTCCGCCTCCCTCCCCCTCCCCCTCCCCCTCCTCTCCTCCTCCTCTTCCTCCTCCTCCTCCTCCTCCTCCTCCTCCTCCTCCTCGGCCGCCCGCTTCTTCTCCGCTTGCCCCCCGCGCACCCGCGCGGCTCGCTGGCGTCGACCCCCTCGCCCGAGTCGCCGGCGGCACGACGGGAGGAGGAGGAGGAGGAGGGAGAGGAGAGGAGGAGGAAAGAAGAAGAGGAGGAGGGGGACGGCGAGGAGGATCGAGGAGGAGGAGGAGGAGGAGGAGGAGGAGGAGGAGGAGGAGGAGGAGAGGAGGAGTAGAAAAGGGAGGAGGAGAGGAGGAGGAGGAGGAGGAGGAGGAGGAGGAAGAGGAGGAGGAGGAGGAGAGGAGGAGGAGGAGGGGAGGAGGAGGAGGAGGAGGAGGACGAGGAGGAGGGGGCTCCGCCGCCTCCGAGCGCACGCTCCGGCGCCCCGGCAGCCCGGTGGCGGAGCAGGCCGCGGCCGCCGCGAGCGAGAAGAGCAGGAAGAAGGCCGCCTCTCCCAGCGCAACGGCGGCGGCGGCGGCGGCAAGGAGGAGCAAGGAGCAAGAATCGGCGGTGAGCGACGGGGAGAAGTGAGTAGGGGAAGGCCTTCTTTTAAGGCTAGGAAGTTCCCCCGCTTTCTGAGAAGTGTTCTAAGCAATCCCCGAAGACACTGGACACTTCTCAGAAGGCGCCAGGTCTTCTGAGAAGTCCCCGCCGCCTTGTGAGAAGGCCTTCTCCTTCTCACTTCCCCCCCTCGCTCGCCGCCGAAGGAAAGGGGAGGAGCAAAGAGGCGGAGGAGGAGGAGGAGGAGGAGCAAGGAGGAGGAAGGAGGAGGAGGAGGAGCGAGGAGGAGCGAGGAGGAGGAGGAGCGAGGAGGAGGAGGAGGCAAAAGGCAGAAGACGACGAGGACGAGAACGAGGACGAGGAGGAGGACGAGGAGGACGAGGAGGACGAGAAAAACGAGGACCAGGAGGACGAGGACGAGGACGAGGACGACGACAACGACAACGACGACGACGACAGCGCCAGCGATGGCGACAGTGACAGCGACGGCGACAGCGACAGCGACAGCGACAACGACGACGACGACCTCTCTCGGAGCAGGACTCGTTTTCGCCTTTTCTGGGCCTCCTGGGAGGCCGTCGTCGCCACTGTTGGAGTCGTCTCGAAATCCTGGTCAAGACGCACCCTGGGAGAGGTCCAGGGCACGACGACGACCACCCCAGATCTCCGACTGTATGATGTTTTTCGGCCGGCGCTTTTGCTTGCACCCAGGGCCCTGTATCAGGCCCAGGCACCTCTGGGGCTGCGAATGGAAACAGGCACATCGGCGGATAACACATGCGACCACGACGAACAAGACAATCCATGCGACGACGAAGATGACGACGAGGATGGCGACGATGGAAACGGCGACTACGACGACGACGGCGACGGCCCTCGTCCTCGCTCCCACAACGCCACGCCACTCTCTTGCTGGTGCGCCCTCGTAACTGTTTCTGCCGACTCCTTTCTCCTTAGGGGCTCCCGATTGCTCGTGAAAGAGATCGGTGGGTGCGGGGGCCTTTGTCAGAGGTGGCCCTCGGCGCTCCTCGGGGCTGACTGGAGTTGCCCGGGGTTCTTCTGGGTTGCCCGTGCAATGCCAGGCAATGTCAAGAACATGGCACGGTATGAAAAGGAGCGACTCCAAGAAATGCCAGAATTGCAAGAAGGTTCAGAACAACGGCCCCGAGCAGTGCTGAGCAACGCCACGCAACGCCAAACGATGCGAAGCAACGCAATGCCAAGCAATGACTGCTTGGCGTTGCTCAGAACTCCTTTGAACTGCTACAGTTAGGTCGGGCGTGCCCCCCTACAAATGAGGGGGGTCTCTATATAATATTGAACTACACTTTGGGGAAAAACGACAAACGAACTGATTTTCCTGAATGCTGAAATCCCTTTTTTAATCGACACACAACGCGACATTAATAAACATACCCGCCATTCTCGAACAACGACAAACAAACTCGCATTTCGACGTGAACTACTCTACTCAAACGACGAACAACACATACAACAATGTCTTAATACTGACTTGTCGGGATGGACAAATAACTGGGGAAAATAATCACACTTCTTCGCAAACCTGCAAACTCTAGAACAAATCCGTGACAAAATTCAGACAACTCCTGAAATTAATCAGGGGCCACCAGGCTGTAGGCGCGTGATTCGCAGTTTCCTGTACCAGTCGTAGGTTGTAGTTTCCAGTGTTACAGTTCTGCTTCTTGCTGGTTACTGTAACTAGTTGACTTCTTGCTGGTTACTGTAACTAGTTGATTGACCGCGCGAGGGGGGGGGAGGCCCAAACAGGATTTTTAGCCTCACCTGGGCGCGTTGTCTGAATTGCTGGGGGGGCTCGAAATCGACACCCCTCACGCAGATCCGCGGGGTCAGGGTCCAAAAACACACGGGATTTGCCACATTTCTGAAATTCGGTGCCACCCCTCACGCAGATCCGCGGGGTCAGGGTCCCAAAAAACACATGGGATTTGCCACATTTCTCAAATTCGGTGCCACGCCTCACGCAGATCCGCGGGGTCAGGGTCCAAAAACACACGGGATTTGCCACATTTCTCAAATTCGGTGCCACTCCTCACGCAGATCCGCGGGGTCAGGGTCCAAAAACACAAAGGATTTGCCACATTTCTGAAATTCGGTGCCACGCCTCACGCAAATCCGCGGGGTCGGGGTCCAAAAACACATGGGATTTGCCACATTTCTGAAATTCGGTGCCACCCCTCACGCAGATCCGCGGGGTCAGGGTCTAAAAACACAAGGGATTTGCCACATTTCTCAAATTCGGTGCCACCCCTCACGCAGATCCGCGGGGTCAGGGTCTAAAGACACATGGGATTTGCCACATTTCTCAAATTCGGTGCCACCCCTCACGCGATCCGCGGGGTCAGGGTCCAAAAACATAAGGGATTTGCTATATTTCTCAAATTCGGTGCCACCCCTCACGCAGATCCGCGGGGTCAGGGTCCAAAAACATATGAGATTTGCAACATTTCTGAAATTCGGTGCCACCCCTCACACAGATCCGCGGGGTCAGGGTCCAAAAACACAGGGGATTTGCCACATTTCTGAAATTCGGTCCCACCCCTCACGCAGATCCGCGGGGTCAGGGTCCAAAAACACATGGGATTTGCCACATTTCTGAAATTCGAACCCATCACGCACATCCATCGCAAGGCGTGGTGACCCAAACTGCGAGAACTCCCTCGGCCCTTGAATCGCAAGGTGTGGTAACCAAGCCCTTAAACCATACACGTCTTACCAATCGCCAGGTGTGGTAACCCCTCTTGTGATCAGTTGGTTTTGCTGATTGCGACTCGGCTTCGCATGAAGTTTCGATACTGCTTCACGACAGCGCCAAGGCCTCATGACTTAGCTCTTCCATGGCCCATTCTCCGAGAGAGGGGGCCGGCGGCAGGGGGCGAAGCCCTTACGGATATATATATATATAGAAATATATACAAATCCCAAATCCAGAGGACCGGTTAACAAACCAATTGTTTTCCAATCAGAATAAGGGCCGATGGGGCCCCGAGCGCATTCTTTCCAAAATGTTGGGATTTTACCTCTTGGATGTCAGTTTGTCTCTGAGCCAGGATCGCCGAACGAAAAAACTAAGATTTCCCAAATCCAGAGAACCGGTCAAAAAACCATGGGTTTTCCAATAGGAATCGGGGCCGATGGGGCCCCACGCGCACTCCTTCCAAGACGTTGGTTCCGCGACGATCGACGGCATGAACCTGGATGGCTTGCCCACTAGCGCCGCACGGCGGACGAACAACGGGGCGAACCTGGCACCACTTACCTTCTTGTAGCCGATGAACCCTTTTCATATCTTTTCATCCCTACAAGCGGATTTCGGACGAAAAATAAAAGATCGGAGGTCGGGGGGTGAGATCGCAGTGAAACGGAGACCCCCCACTGGGAAATCGGTTTCGGTTTCGTGTTCGTGTCGTGCGTGCGGGCGTGGCGAAGCTGCGCGTGATCCTGTCCTCCTGTAGCGAGGCCAAAATAGGAGCGAAAGTCCGTTCCCGTCCGCCGGTGGCTGGGAGGTGTCCAAGTTGGGCTGGGCGGTGTCCCGGGTGTCCCGGGTGTCAGTAGGAGCGAAGGTCCTTTTCCCGTCCGCCGGTGGCCGGGAGGTGTCCCAGTTGGGCTGGTCGGTGTCCCGGGTGTCCCGGGTGTCCCGGGCGTCCCTGCGCTAACGCATGTCGCAAATTTCATAACTCATTTTTTTTCGGCGCCTGCGGCGGGTTTTCTTCTCAGATCCAGCTTATCTTATCCAATCCATCTCTTCCAATCCAAGCAACTTTACTTTATCAAACCCATATTGTCCAATCTAATCTTATCCCAGCCAATCCAATCCACCCAACCCAATCCATCAATTCATTTGTTTTTGCGCCTGCGGCGGGCCAGTCCAACCCATCTTATCCTATTCAATCCATCTCTTCCAATCCAGCCCATTTTATCAGATCCAATCCATCTTATCCCACCCAATCCAATCCACCCAACCCAATCCATTAATTCATTGTTGTCGGCGCCTGCGGCTGACTCTCTTATCCAATCCAGCTTATCTTTTCCAATCCATACTGCCCAGTCCAATAAATCCTATTTTATCAAACCCATATTGTCCCATCTAATTTTCCCCCACCCAATCCAATCCACCCAACCCAATCCATCAATTCATTTGTTTCTGCGCCTGCGGCGGGCCAATCCAATCCATCTGATCATATCTAATCCATTTCTTCCAATCCAACCAATCATATATGATCCAATCCGTCTTATTCCATCAAATCCAATCCACCCAACCCGATCCATTAATTCATTTTTGTCGGCGCCTGCGGCGGGCTTTCTTATCCAAACCAGCTTATCTTATCCAGTCCATGGTTGTGCTGATGGTTGTCCTGTGGTTGTCCGACAACAAATCGTTGTTCGGCGCCTGCGGCGGGCTTTCTCAGTTTGCTCTTGACGTTGATGATGAAGTCGACAGTGAGATTCACCGATAGGTCGGTCGACGGATAAGTAGATAGTGGGATATCATCGTCTTCGCGATCATCCTTGTGGTGGAAGGAGACCCTGATAGAGAAGGAAAGAGAGAGAGAGAGAGAGAGATGGCGATATATATATATATATATATATATATAGAGAGAGAGAGAGAGAGAGAGAGAGAGAGAGAGAGAGAGAGAGAGAGAGAGAGAGAGAGAGAGAGAGACAGAGAGAGAGGGAGAGAGAGAGAGAGAGAGAGAGAGACCGAGAGAAAGAGAGCTATGATATCGAGGTGACCGGCTGGGGGTCAATCAGGGTGGGCATTTGATCTCAATCCCTCCCAACCTCCTTATCGCCCGCAGGGCGGTCGGATAGGTATTCAACAAATACTTCCAAATAACCAAAACATGCAAAACAAATCGTCCCCATACTATTTTTGACGATTTTTGGACATTCCTCCTCTGGAGGGACAGGCCCGATTTAATGCTACGGTCATCGCGCTACCATTAGGCACACCAAGCAGGGAACGAAGGGGCTTCCTTCCTGGACGCGGCGAGCCTCGGCCGTGAACCGCCCCCCCCAGCCTGACTTTGAGGAGAGGCCCCAAAAACGGAACCCCTCATGAGCCCGAAGTATGGCCATTATTCCAGCGTCTTGACGGCGTGGAATCGGCTACAGGCAAGAGCGACCCTGGGCAAGAGTGGCCTCTGGTGCGCGGCTTCTTGGGGGGCCGCGGGGCGATCGCACACAAGCCCGCAGGACGCCACTATCGCATCGCGTTCGGCGATCGGGGGACGCCATTGGGCCCGCGCCAAAGGTCATTCTGGCGAAGGGTCACTTTTATGTCTAGTCGATGGAAGGAAGAAAAAACACCCCAATTACGGAGGTCGCGCCGGCCCCGTGGGCCACAGGCGTGGCCGCTGCTGGCAGCGAGGTGCAGGCAGGGAGGCGCGCCGCCGCGAGGCCCTCGCGCCAGGCGTCGGCCCGGGCCCGGCAGCCCTGCGACCGCACGTCGCACCGCAAGCGCGCCAAGGCCACAAGCAACGGTTTCTGCGGGACGCGCCCCTCGCCCTTCGCTTGCCGCAAGCAGGCAGGCGGGTCTTGGGGATGCGGTCGGCCACTGCTGCTGCTCATGGCGGTCGAGGAGATCCTGTGGCCATGCAGGCCTGTCCTGCCCCTCGAGCCCGGCAAAGGCCATGGGGAGGGAGGGGGGGGCTCATTAGGGAAGAGGTGAAACGCTAGAGGTAGGGCAATCTTGTGGGGCTCAACCCGAGGATGGGGAAGAGGGAGGGGAAATGAGGTCGGCCACTCCTCTTGTTCCTGGAGCGCCCTGGTCGCGAGCTCCGCCTGGAACACAGGGCGAACGGCACCTCAACTGCCTCGACCTTGCATGCCTCGTGGACGTGGGCGAAGCGTTCCTTGGTGCCTTGCTGCGCGCTTCCCGCACCTACTCGTCGGCGCCGCGACCGGCGAGGGCGATCTGCTGCTCCACGCGGGAGACCTGCGGGAGGAGGGCGTCGGAAGCAGGAAAGGGAGGAGGAGGAGGAGGAGGAGGAGGAGGAGGAGGAGGAGGAGGAGGGAGGAGGAAAACAAGGAGGACGAGGAAGGTGGAGAGGAGAGGCGGAGGAGGAGAGAGAGGAGGAGAGGAGGAGTAGGAGGAGGAGGAGGGAGGAGGAGGAGGGAGGAGAGGGGAGGAGAGGAGGAGAGAGGAGGAGGAGGAGGGACGAGGAGGAGGAGGAGGAGGAGGGACGAGGAGGAGGAGGAGGAGGAGGAAGAGAGGGAGGAAGAGGAGGAGGAGGAAGAGGAGGAGGAGGAGTAGGAGAAGGAGGACGATGAGGAAGAGGAGGAGAGGGCCAAGAGGAGGAGGAGAGCCAGGAGGAGGAGGAGGAGGAGGACCAGTGTAAACCCAAGAGGCATCAGCGATGTTGGAATAAACCCTCCCTCCAAGCTCCCTTCATAGGCCCCATACAACGGCTCATTCTTACTGAAGGAACTACCTCGTTGGAAGACAACTGTTTGAAGACCCTGAAGCATGCCAAAACACTGTCCTCGGGATTCCAGCGCCAGCGAAAACCTTGTAATTTGTTTAAACAAATGTGCGCGGCGCTCAGGCGAGAGCCACATGTTGAAAGGAACCGCCCTCAATCCGTGCAACTCTTGCAAATGTGTATGACGAATGCTCGCGGCGCTAAGGCGAGAACCACATGTTGAAACGACTCGCCCTGAATCCGTGAAGCTCTTGCAAGTTTTCAAAAAGAATGTGCGCGGCGCAAAGGCGAGGGCTACATTTTGAAAACGACCCGCCCTCCATGTGAAGCTGTTGCCAACGTTTAAGCTTCACAGTCATGAATGGAGAGGACGTCTCATGCGAAACGCCCGGCCCGCCCTAAAAACGGGCCTCGGGGTGTGACAGGAAGACTTTACTTACAAGGAGAAGGAACGGAAAAAGAGGCGGAGGCGGAGGAGGAGAAGGAACAGAGGAGGAGGACGAGGAGGAGGACGAGGAGGAGGAGGAGGAGGAGGAGGAGGAGGAGGAGGAGGAGGAGGAGGAGGAGGAGGAGGAGGAGGAGGAGGACGAGGAGGAGGAAGGACGAGGATGAGGAGAGAGAGGAGAGGAGGAGGAGCAGCGGGAGGAGGTCGACGAGGAGAAGGAGGAGAGCCAGGAGCGGAGGAGGAGGACGAGGGACGATAATCGAGGAGGAATAGGAGGAGAAAAGCCAGGTAGGAGGAGGAGGAGGAGAGGAGGCGGAGGAGGAGGAGGAGGAGAGGAGAGGAGGGAGGAAGAGGAGGAGGAGGAGGAGGAGAGAGGAGGAGGAGGAGGAGGAGGAGGAGGAGGAGGAAGAGGAGGAGGAGGACGTTGTCTGCGTCTGCGTCTGCGTCTGCGTCGGCGTCTGCGTCGGCGTCGGCGTCGTCGTCGGCGTCGTCGTCGTCGTCGCAGCCTACCGCGGCGGGCCCCCCCCGCCTGGAGCGGGAGGGAGCCGTCGGCGTCCTGCCCCGCGCGCGCCAGGGGGGGGAGTCGAGAATAGGAGAGGGGGGAGGAGGGGAGGAGGGGAGGAGGGGAGGGATATCGAGGATCGAGGAGGGGAGCATCGAGGACCGAGGGGTGGAGGAGGGGAGGATCGAGAATCGAGGATCCAGGGAGGATCGAATATCGACGATCGAGGATCGTGGGCCGCGCCGGAGGGGGGGATCGAGGACCGAGGATGGAGGAATGGAAGGGATCGATGGGGGAGGATCGAGGTGATCGGGGAGGATGAGGAGGAGGAGGAGGAGAAGGAGAAGGAGGAGGGAAGGGGGAGGATCGAACATCGAGGCATGGAATGAACACTTCATCAACAGAGGCGAGACAAGCCAGCATGGCAGAGCAACGGGCGAGTCCCGAACCCCGAAGCGGGGAGGGGCTGTGCCCAGATGCTTTCCCGCGCTGCCGTGTGCTGTCTCAAGCGCGGCGCAAGTTCAACGCAAGGGCGGGTTCCAGAACCTTGGTCGCCCCGTGCTTATGCGCCGCAGCGGAGGGGCGCGAGCCTGTCGGGGACTGACCTGGAGCAGGAGCTAGCGCAAGGCAGGGCAAATTTTTGTGGCGGCCAACCGCGTTGCCAGAATGTCCTGCTGCAGGGGTCGTTCGGCCGTTCGCACCCCCCTTCAAACAATGACGGCCGCGGCGACGACGACGACCACGACGACGACCCCGCCCGTTCTTCGTCTCATCCTCCGCCTTCTGGCGGAAGTTACGCGGATGCGTGGGGATATCGTATATTGGGGTTCTTTTTCCTCCAACGCAGCTTGAACAAAAGGGCCTGCCGGCATGCTACGAATTGACGGCGCCCGAATCACTCAAGATCCCGAGGACGCCGCCTGGCCGAGCGGGGGCGGGTGGTGAGCCCGCTCCTCCTCGGACACCCCTCGGGTCACCACTCCCCCCAGGGCCCTAGAAAGTGAAACTTCAAACCCGCAGTGCCCGCGCCCATGGCGCATCTAACCAGTATGCAGCTCAAGGACCTACTCGGACCACGCGCACCCTGTTCTCGCGGCCCCAAAGGCTGGAAACGGGGGCTGGTCGTCCACGAAGTATACTTGACCTGGCTCTGGGTGGCAACCATCCTTCTGCGGTCGCCCTTCTTAGTCTTGATATTCGCTGCTGGCTCGCTCGGCCCCCCGATCGGAGCACGCCGTGGCTCCCCGCCGTCGCCGCCGCGCGGCAGGGCACCCGTGCGACACCAACTCGGCCTCACACACGGACAAAACCAGCAAGTCAAGGAAAACCCGAGCAAAGCAAGCAGGAGCCCTAGGCTCACGCCCGCCATCTGTGCAGCCAGGCTCACGTAGTAGCCCTCAGTTGTGGCTCCCGGCATGGCCACTGGAGTCAGCGCGCTCCCGTCCATCTCCTGCGGTGCCTCGCGCAGCTCGCTCGAGCTCCCCTGCGCCGCTGTGGGGAGCGACGCAGCCACTGCAAGCAACGCCGTCAACAGGGTTGACTGGGCCTGGAGGTCGGTCGGCATGGCCTCGACTCCAACTACACCCGAGGTCCCTCGCACGGGCGCCTCCTTCAAACCGCAGCCCTCGCGGAGCCATTCGAGGCGTGTCCTCGGCAACGCCTTTGCGCCTAGATCCGCCAGGTTGTCGCCGCCAGCTACGGGCTCGATGGTGATGACCTTCTTGGCCACCAACTGCTGTTTCCAAAGCGTTTTGGCGGCGAGGTGCTTGATCCGCCCAGTGCCCTGGCGCCTCGCCAGCGCTCTCGCGCCCGAGCTGTCGCGTCGCCAGATCACGTGCACGCTGTAGCCCATGAGCGCGAAGAGCGCCTTCAGCCCAAGTCCTTCGCTGAGGCCTCGAGCTCAAGCGCGCCACTCGGCCTCGCAGCTGCTAAGGGTCTGCGCGTCTTGACGACAGCTGATCCCGTGCATTGGGCACCCGCGCGCGGTGATGTGCGCGCTGGTCTGGCTCTTCCGCTCCTTCGTGTCGCCTGCCCCGTCGGAGTCATTCCACGCGACCAGGTCGACGATGCCCCGCGGCGTGGTGGGCTTGGCCATCATCGCGCCCAGGTCCCTCGTGCCCTTCATGTACATTGCCAGCCTCTTGAGGGCTCGAGGTGCACGAGGTCAGGTAGTTAATGTCGAGCTGAGCATCTTCACGGTCATGGAGATAGAACAGCAGGCACATGGTCACGCTCCTGAACAGCTTAGCCTCGTCTGGGCTGAGGTCGAGCGCGTCATCCCTGCCTGTCCTGCGTGCCCCCACCCCCGGGGTGGCGCGCGAGTTGCCCTCCTCGGGCCTAGCGCCTCCAGTGCCTTCGTGAGGTGCTTCCCGCTGGGCTGAATGTAGGTAGCGTCGGCCTCTCGCACGCGCCGCCTCTTGAGAAACTCGTAGTCGGCGCCGCCACCCTGTGGGCCTGACCACTTCGCCTTGATGTCACGGCCCAGGTCCAGCGCGAAGTCGGGCCCTGCGACTCCATGCGCTGTGTCGTGCATGTCGTCCATGTGCAGCTCCACCAGGCACGGGGGCTCGGCGCGCCAGAAAAACTGGGGCGCGGTCGGTGACCGCTCGAAGCCTCTGGCCACGAGATGCTCCGCGGCGAACTCGACCCGGCGCTTCCCTCCAGCGCGCTGTCCTGGCAACTGCGTCGTGAGCTGCCAAACGTAGTCCTCAGTGTCGCCCTTCGCGCGGCACTCCTCCAGGACTTCGGGTGGGCACTCGACCCACGCGCCCTCCTCCTCGGGGACATGGTAGTACGCGTCCTCCGCGTGTGCGTCAGAGCCACATGGTCCACCACTCGGCTGTCAGCCATGCTGCCCCCTGGCGTGAAGAGGTCGTCGCGGTACTCCTGCCACTTGAACTCTCGCGCGACGTACCTTGACTTAGCGATCCTGCATCCGAGGTTCGCGTCCCACTTGTAAACGTGGTCGAAGCGGGCGCTGATCCGCTTGCCGGCGGCCTCGCTCCGTTTGGCGAGTTTGCCCACCCCGTGCTGCTTCAGGCCGTCGAGGGCCCGTTTGGTGGAAGCCTCGATCAACTGCGAGCCCGACGCATCGTGGGGATCAGGGACACCCATGTCCCTGAGGATCTGCAGGAAGTCAGGCCGCACGTCATCACAGTGCTCAGCTGCTACCCCGCTAACTCGGGACCTCGCAAGAGCGCCTCGGTTGTCACCCTCCTCCGCGGGTCACTTCGGCGATCGCCCTATCGGGGGCGTCAGCGGGGGTGCACTCGCTGGCGCTGCGGCCCTCGGCGTCACGGGGGTGTCGCCCCCAGCGCCGCCCCCAGCAGATGTCTGCGTCGCTGGCCCCGCCTGCCTGTCCCCAGCGGGCACCTCGGCGCCGCCCGCCGCATCGGCCGAGGGCGCCGCCACGGGCGCGCCCGTCTGGGAAACTGGCCCGCCGCCACGGGCGGCCCCAGTGGACTGGGCAGCAGCGCTCGGGTCTGGCTGAGCCTCAGCTGCCTCTTGCGCCGCCAGGTCGGCGTCCGCAGCGGCAGGGGGTGCAGCGATCGGCTCGATCCCGCGCGGGGCCGTGCCCTGCCCTCGGCGCTGCCATGGCATGTGCGTGGTCGCCGCCACGGCGGTGCGATTGAACCTCCGCTCTTCGGGCAGCCTCTTGCCGGTCCTCGTCCTGACTAGCTCACCCGTCTCGAGGGCGCATCTGTGCTCGTCGGTGTCGCAGCTCTTCCCTAGCCAGACTGCCCTCGCGAAGCCCATGTCGCCCATGTGGTGCACCTTGCCTCTCGCCCTGCGATTCTTGTCCCTGGGCAGGCGCGCCAGGGCGAACCCCCCTGGGGTGGCCATCTCCCTGGTGTAGGCGCGGCCGTAGAGGTCCTCATGTGCTGCGCGACCGCGCGCCTTGATCCTCAGGTTGGCGCATGCCCAGCCCGCGTGGCGTTGCAACCGCTTGTACATGGCCGTGCCCGGTCGGGCCCTGGCCCCCAGTCGTGCCTCCAGCGCGCTCCAGCTCGTGCGGAATTGTGCCTGGATGATGCCATTGGCATTCTCGGAGGGGCTCGACTGGGAGCTGAACGTAGGTGCAGGCCTCACGACCACACGGTTGGGCAGCTCCGCCTCGACCTTGTTGGCCAAGTCCATCATGACGTCCTCGCGGTCTGGCCTTAGGATGACCTTCTGATGGAAAAGGCTCTTGATGAACGCCACCGCGGCTGCTACCGCGCAGGGGTCAGCGCGTCGGTCAGGCTTCGGGGCACTCCGCATGGCGCCTGCGTCGGCATCCGCGACCACCAGCGCCACTTCCTCGCCCTGTCTCTGGCCATCCCCGGCGCGGGGGCCCGCCCCCACGGCGTCGGCCGCCTCGCCCTTGAGGAATGCCAGGTCAAGCCCGATCACGGGGAGGCGTTCCACCTCCGCGTCTAGCAACTCGCGGGGCCTGTCACGCCCACGTCCCATCTGACAGTGCTCACACCAGCGCCGCGGTGGGCAGCGCTGGTTCTCCTCGTGGCGCCGTCTCTCCTCTGGCGTCGGCCCGCGGACGTCGGGGAACGCGGTCGGTTCCACCACCTGTCCCGACCCCGCCTGACGCCTCATCTCCTCGCGCCTCAGCTCGCGGAAATCATCCGTCGCCGCCCTCGCCTTGCGCCTGCCCTCGTGCCCGACGAGCCGTGCCCGGCGCTGAGCCTTGGTCCCGTAGTACGGGGCATAGATCTCCTTGAAGCGCTTCTGCATGGCGTCGATCCTCGAGCTTGGTCCAAGCCCCGCGAGGTACGACCGCCCCAGCGACTGTGCCGCCGCGGGTGCCTCCTGGCCCTGCGCGGGCGCCGCCGCCTCCTGCGCGCCCGCGGTGGCGCCGCCGCCGCCGCCTGCGCCTGTGGTGCCGCGGCTCCTGCCTCTGGTGGCGTTGGGCCACGCGACCCTCGAGCTTCTGGGCGCGGCGGAGGATCCTCTCCGCGCACCGTCCCCCACGGAGCTCCTGTGGCGCCAGCTGCGGCGACCCTGGCGGGGCAGGCTGCGAGCTTGGCCTCGCGTCGCGTCGTGGATCTGCGCAGCGAAGT